CTATTTACAGCCTCCCAAGAGCTGGAATTACAGGCGCACCACCACGCCCAGCCTCAATTGCCATCTCAGCACACCCTGGGGGCAGGGCCAGCATGGCAGGCCCCAGGGAGATGTTTTATTTATAAAACAAGAACCAATATTCTGGGAGGCTGAGGCAGGAAGATTGCATGTCAAGCCCAACCTAGGTGCTATGTGTGGGTCTAGATGTCCCCCACAAGCCGCATATGGTCATGGGTGGGGCTTTTTCCAAGGTGGCTGAAGCTAGAGTGTGTGATGCTGGGATTAAGGGTGTGTGACTACTAAACCAGCCTACTGGTTGGTTTGGCACCGGCCCTTAAACTAGGGCCTGGATAGGATCTAAGTGGGGCAAAAAGAGACTGCCCTACTGGCCTTGCTGATTGCTGCTTCGCCTGCTTGCTTCTGCTACCTTCTGCCTGCCATGAACCATTTCTCCTCTGTGACGCTGTCTCCCATGACCCCTGCCTTGGGGCCAGCTGACTGTGGCTGAAAGATCTACAATTTCCTCCTTTAACATTGGGTGTTGGGTATTTTGCCTCAGCAGCAAGGAAAGTAAGACACTAGGCAAGTACTGTTCCCACATGAAACAAACAAACTAGCTATTATGATCAACAAGAATGAACTCTGGAAACATGCACACATCTAGAATGACATCCAATGTAAAAAGTAAATAGCGATGGGTTAAAAGAAAGGCAACCAAGGGCTGACCAGATAGCTCAGTGGACTAAAACACCTGCTGAGGCAGAGCACAGTGGCCGGGGACTGATCCCTCACGTGCTGTGCCAGCCCCACCCTTGGGGCGAGCTGAGATGGTGATTGAGACTGGGCGTGGTAGCGCACATCTGTAATCCCAGAGCTTGGGAGGCTGAAAACTGGAGGATCACCACAAGTCCGATCTATGTAGTGAGACCCTATAGACCCCGTAGACTCTGTACTAATTACAGAAAAGAAAAAAAAAAAGTCAACCAAAAAGACAAGATGAAAAATGGTAGGGACGATCAGGTTAACTATTTAGGGTATCTAATATTTAACAAAAGATGATTCTAGAATAAGAAGGCTGAACAAATGGTGATCATGAAATTAGTAGTGAGAGAACATGAAAGTTCTGGGAAATACACTTTAATTTATTGCACGGCTCGCCAAACTCAGTGAATAAGGACAACTTGCAAAGGGCCATCACAACAGTTCGGAGCACTCAAGCAATAAACAAGATTCCAGCTTGTCAGAGAGAAAAGGCGCTGAATAAGACAGAACAGAAATAGATCCAGTTGTCTCAATGATACCAAAAATGTAGGGCAATGCCTTCAACATCGTGGAGGAAAATGGTTTTTAACCTAAAGTTCCTGTCAGTCAACTATGGTGATAAAATAAAAGCATTTTTAGGCCTACATGGATTCAAAATACTCAGTCCTCACACGTCCTTTCTTAGAAAACTACTAAAGTGTGTGTTTCAACACAACTGGGGGTAAAACCAAGAACCAGATTTGGGATTCAGGAAAGAACAGCTCAGCAGAGAAGTGAGGGAAGGTCCAGGGTGCTGATTTACATCAGGCGCATATAGCCAACAGTCGGTGCTGGACCAAGAGAACAGGGCTGTGGAAGAGAGCGCTTCTGAGAGACGGGGCAGAACTCACTGATCAGCCAGTAACCTGCCATGTGGGGAAAGTCCACTAGGGGTTTTACAGATTTGTTTAAAAAGAAAAAATAGAACTAGGCGTGGTGGTGCTCGCCCGAAATCCCAGTGTTGGGGAGGCTGAGACAGGACGATGACTATGAGTCTGAGCTGCATAGCAAGACACTATCAATCAAGAATAAAATAAAATAATTAAAGAATAAACATGAGAAAAAGTGAGATGCTATGAAGCTAGGAAGCAAGCCTAGTTTGATAATATGAGCACTGACCATTAATTTAGCAAAAATTGTAATGTAATTATATTTGAAAGGTCATTAGAGAGCAGGGACTGGGGGGTGGGTGACTACTGAATAGAAAGTTAAATTTTTTTTTTTTGTTTGTTGTTTTTCTGGACTGGAGATTGAACTCAGGACCCTGCGCTTGCCAGGCAAATGCTTATTCTACTGAGCTGTCTCCCCAGACCCAAAAGTTAAATCTTTGTCTAAAATTGATAAAACAGCTAATGTAGAACTATGTAGGTAAATGTAGAAGGAGCAGAAAGCAGAAAGGAGATGGCTTTGTAAGAAGGGGGAGGAGAAAACAAGCACCGCTTTTGCTTTGTTTGCTCATAAATGAGTAACTGGTACCATTTGATTGTTTTAACTGTGTTTAGATTGTCAGTGTTTATTGGATTGATAGATGTGTTAAACTATAACTAGTCAAAGTCAGTTGGTTTTAAAAAATCAGCTATGTGAACTCCTTGTGGTCTGCAGGATTTGAAAATCTCCCGGTCAAGCATGTCCCTCCAGGCAGGCGGCCTGCCAGGACTGCAGCAGCACGGTGCCTTTCCGACGCTCCCCATGCCTTGCACCTTGCGACTGCAGGCTTGGGGAGGGTGCTGCGCACGCAGGTGTGGACCTGTGGCTCAGCAAGGTGGTGCAAGCGGGAAAGACAGACCGAGGCTGCATTAGAAATTGAACTGGGGGAAAAATACATGAAAGCCACATGCGTGCTCTGATGGCTACAAGGCAGAGCCTTTATGTTCATAGCTAGACGGGATGGGAGAAGTGGAAACTGTGTTATTTATCAGGAGACAGCTGTCATGTATGTGTGGGAGTGAGTTAAAGTTCATGTAGGAAATCAGCGGCACCCTTTGTTCTGCTTGCCCCTGCAGCCTGATCGCCTACACGGAGCAGTACGCGGAATACGACCCTTTCGTCACACCGGCAGAGCCATCTAACCCTTGGATCAGTGATGACATCACTTTATGGGACACAGAGATGAGGTAAAAAATGTTCTAAGGTGCTGGAGTGTGAGAGATGTAGAGGGAATCCATAAGTCACGGGACTGCCGTGGTCCCTCATAAGGGTGGCCACAGTCACTAGACAGCAGCCTCCAGCCTCCATGCTACATTTTCGGGCACATGGCGCCCCCTCCTTACCACTTGGGCTTGTACCTGGCTCCTTGGTGGCATGGCTTTGAGTTTTCAGACACTGTGACAACTGGGCCAGCCCCTCGCCACTTCCTAGTCCTGATTTGATGATGGTGCCGGCTAGGGCTTGCTGTATACTGGCCATGTCACAAAGCAGGTGTCTTCTGTGTGTCCTCTCATCAGTAACACTGCTGTTCTTACTGTGGAACAGATGAGGAAACCAGGGCATAGTGGAGCTAGTGAACTTGCCCCGAGCCACAGATGCAGCACGGAGTTGAGACGAGCCCAAACAGGGCCCCAGCACTGCGATTTTCATCGCTCTGCTCTGCTGCAGGAATTGGCAGCATTCACTCCATCTTCCACCAGCTCCTGCGCTGGGAGGGAAGCAGGTTTGCTTGCTTACTCAGTAGCTGTCGAGGCAAGGCCACAGGGACTTGCAGAACTTGTAAAATTAGAAAGGAGAGCTCAGACAACTCTGTGTGGCGTACCTTTAGAACCTCTGCCCCTGGGAGGGCCGTTTATTTTATTTTTCATTTCTGTCACTCTGTGTTCCCTTTCACTTTTGCCCTCTTTCCGGAATCTTTCCCTGGAATTAGAAAACATTCTAAAATCCAACAAAAGCCATAGATCTGTACGTGTGTGATGGAAGGCGTGCTCTGCGCCCGCAGCCCAGCCTCGTCTGCCAAGAGTCTCTGCATCTGTTCTGATACCTTGCTCCCCGCGTACCCTCACACCGAGGGGACTTCGGGGGGCGGGGGGGGGGGCTCCCAGCATGGTGTAACTTGGTGATGAAAACACAGCAGTGTTGGCTCGGAGCCAGAGGCTGCATGAACCACTTACTGGCTTGGGTTGGTTCAGGGTCGCCATCGGAGCACATTCCGTCCTTTCCAGTGGTGGCCCGTCTTTGCAAATGTAGGCTTTCGGAACCATTTCTGTGATAAGAATCAGTGCTTTTTGACTTGCAAAAGTAAGTGTGGAGGGGTCAGGGAGATGACTCAGTAGAATAAGCGCTTCCCTGGCAAGCGCAAGGGCCTGAGTTTAATCCCCGATTCCACCAAAAAATAAATAAGTGTGGAATATGAAATGAGGGTAGGGTCTAACCTGATACCAGAGCCTGAGGAAATGGGCAGTTCCCAACAGGTGACTGCATGTTGCGGTGATTTAAAGAATGGAATAAAAATAATTTTGCAAGATATGTGCATTTCATACACCTACCAAGTAGCTAGGATATAAATACCTGAGGTTTTTATCCTGACCTTACTAAACAAAGCCACTAGGTACATCTTTCGGCTCAGAGGTATCACTAAAAACTTAATGAGACACTAAGGGATCCGTGAACTAGAAAGTTGGGGACTCTCTGATTCAAAGCATATAAAGTGTTCTGCTTTTTAGCACAATCGGGTTCGTATCTGTATATTGTCAAATAGTCTTAACTAGCAGTACATCATGACAATCCTTCCCCTTAGACACACATCCTATTCCTTTTTTAATATCTACATAATACTTCTGACATGAGTGAAATAAAATGTATTTAACCAATGCCCAGGTCATAAATATCAAAGTCTTGTCTTTCTTATGTAAGATTAACAACGATTCAGGAAACATCCCTATACACACATCCAGTTTTTCCTTAATATGAATTTTCCAGAAGTAGAATAGATACTAGAAATAGTGGACAAATTTTTAGTTTTTAGTTTAGTTCACACACCAGACTCCTACTAAGCAAATCTGTAACAAATGTTTCCACGCCCTTGGCTTAGCTGTGGCCATTTCCTCACAACCTTACCAACTCAGACATCAGCTGACTTTTAACTTTGCAAATCTAATAGGTTAAGAAATCCTCATCTTGGGCTGGGGAGGTAGCTCAGCAGTCTAGTCGCCTGCCTGGCTAGAGCAAAGACCCAAATTCAATCCTCAATACTGCATGCCGTGATGGCCCCGGAACCCAAGGCACACCATGCCAGCCACCGAAACCAGGCGTGATGGCGTGTGCCTGTACTCCCAGCACTGGGAGGCTGAGACAGGAAGATCACTATGAGCCTGAGCTGAGTATCAAGACTCTGTACCAAATAAATAAATTTTTAAAATCATCTTACTATTTCTTTATCAATCACTTACTGATCTTTCCACCTGATCGTGAGATACTCATTCTTCTATGACTTGCGAGTTCTTGTGTCTTTGCCCATTTTTCTAGCAATTTGCTTTGCTTTGGATATTGAGGCAGAAAGCTGTCTTTGAGCTTAGATCATTTCTTTTATCTGTTTCCCTTAGTCTTGCGTTTTTCAGAGTCTCACTCTTCTGACTCTTGTTTCGCTTGCCTTACTTTTGCTTTCCTGATGGAGGTTTGCACTGGCTTTTTCTTAGCTCTAGTTCTGTGTCTAGTCATGGTTACTTTTGAATCTTTTCATTAAAAATGTTACTGATTTATGCAAATATTTATGAGGCATATAAATTAATAAATAGAGGTGTCTTTTGCACCACTTCCACCATTTTTTCTCAGCCTTGTGGTAATTGGATAAAGCTTAAACCGACCTTTTTGCAGCTAGCAACTAGCTCTACCAACATTAAAGGAAGAAGTAGTGTGGAAATGGGTGTCTCTGACCTTTTTACTCACATTTCTAACATGACCCAGGGGGTCTCATTCAATCTGAGCCAGGAATTTAAGTCTTCCTTTGGTCCAGGATTCTGCTCCTTTTCCTTTCTTTGCAATTCCCGCAGCTCTTTTGTGACTTCTTTGTCTTTTCTCAGGAAATCCTGCATTAGCCATTCTGGGCTTCTGGGGTGAAGCTGTTATATCTCTTATATTTTCTCAGTTATAATTCCTATCTCTCCATAGTTGTATTCTATATTCAAATGATGGAATTTCTGGAATTGCTCTTTAAAGCCACTTGTTTGGATTTCAATGGTGTAACTTTATACTTTAATGAGTTTATTTTCTGCATATTGGGAGGGGTAGTCAATAATATTTTTTTCCGGGGCTGGGGAGATAGCGCAGTAGAATAAGTCCTTGCCTGACAGGCACAAGGTCTTGACTTCAATCTCCAATTCTGCAAAAAAAAAAAAAAAAAAAAAAAAAAAAAATTTCCAAGATATCCGATCATTCTTGCTCCTCTTGTTTTTAAAAAATTATTTATTTATTTTTGTGTGTGTGTATGTGTGTGTGTGGCCAGCTCAGCCCACCAGGGGGTGGGGCTGGCTGGCATGTGGTGCTGGGGGATTGAACCGCGGTCCCTGTGCTTTGCTGAGCTTGTTCTAAGTAGGTGCTTTAGACCACTGAGCCCCCTCACCGCTGTGGGGTCTCGTCGTTGTGTTGTAGCTGGGCGCAGGTAACTGCCAGACTCCCCTCTGGGTCCTGTGAGTGTGGTTCGAGAACAGACTGGGAAATCACAGGCAGCTACACCGTGCTCGGGTGGTAGAGCCCCGTCATTGGCATGTCATTGGCATGACAGCGCTCCCTGCAGCCACGGCCCGGGTGCAGGTCCTTGAGGGCCTCAGCTTACTCCCATGGCCCTCCCCTCCCCCAGCATCCTTCTCTCTCTGGGATGCACCTGGGGGGCCCAGTTAGATCTGCTAAAGCTAGTTGGAAGTAGCAAGCTAGAGAACCTTCAGTGGTCTCCCTGCACGGCTGGATGTTTTCCTCTCTCTGTTTGCTGCCCAGCCCCCCATGGGTGGGTGCTACCCTCTGGGCACTGCTAGCGTTAGGAAAACACCCCCTTCCCTTTGCTTAGGAAAGCCTTCCTGCCCGCAGAGCACTTCCCATCTCTGGGTCTCTGCTTCTGTTCCCTCGCATGGCCCCTCCCACTGCCTCTGCTTGCAGCCCCCCTCCCAGAGCTCACATGCTCCCAGGCCTCTCTAGAAGGCAGCCAGCCCCTTCTCCTGTGGACCCACTAAAATCACAACCTGCTCTCTGTCAGCACTGTTGTAAGTTCAGTTCATCAGCTTCATGCCTTTCTGAATTTCCTCAGACTTATCTTCTGCCAACCAGAAATGCCTGAACCTTTACATGCTGTGTTCAGGGTTTTCAAAATGCTCACCGCACTCCAGAGTCTCCCCAGGGCTCTTGCTGGCCCATTCTCCCCCCGCCCCACGACCGGCTCCATCTCCCTCAGCCTCACTGCCCTCACGAGTATGCTAGCACCCACACTTCGCCCGGCACACAGAAGGCGCTCGAGAGTCCTGTGGGGAGGAGGGTGGATGAGCCCATGACTGTCCCTGGGCCATTTTTTGACATTGGTAAGTGCATAAGCCCAATTTGCTGCAATAAAGCAAATTTCTTTCCTGGTTCCAAGTCAGCAGAGAAGCTCGTAACAGTGAGGGTCAATGGTGGCCACCTGGCTGCCTGCTTTCTCCCACGCCATGTAGCACTTGATCCTTACACAGGTGTTCCTTGTCCTGGTAGGAGCTGAGTGTGCTCTGCGGGGCTCGTGGCTGCTGCTCAGGCCCCTGCTGTGATCTAATGCCCAGCCAAAGGGACACATAGGGCCCTAGCCCCTGCAAGCAGCCAGGTCCCACCCATGCAGGTGGAGGAAAGAGCATCCCTCCCCTCCCAGGCCAGCAGGGGTGCTGGCAGCACCACAGTGGGGGACTGGTGTCAGCACCATATGTCACCTTGGGACGGTCCCAGCCATGAAATGAAAGCTGACGAGGACCAATAAAATAATTAAAGGTCATTCCTCAGTTTCAATTTCATTCCAAGCATCTGTATCAAAACCTCCTTCCTGCTGTGTTCTCAGCAAGTCCTCAGGACAGAATATTACAAGGTAAATAAAACCTACTACCGTACCGCCTGGCACCAGATTTTCTCCTTGGCAAAGAGCGCTGAGTCACTGAGGGCAGAAAGCAGGCCCTGCAGA